AATTTTGAAATATACAAATCCAATTCGAAGAGTTGCTGCCTCTTTGTCATTCTCCCAATGAGAAACACCAGCGGAAGTGAAAACCTGAAAGAATCATCATTTGTTAACAAAGCTTTCAATCAGTGGTGTTAAAGCTGATCTAACTTCAACAAACAAATGCCTCGCATAAAAAATACGTCTTAAATTTTATAATTGCTTATCACAACAGAGACTTTCATATTTATTGTGATGCAGAAGCAACATGACAATAGCAACATGACAATGAGCAAAAAATAAAGAAATAAAACGTTTAATGCCGAAAATCCTACAAAATTTGCTCCTTCCACTTATCAGCCACTCTAAGGTCCCCGAAACACCCAAACTTGAGATCAACGGAGAAGTCAAGGCCTCCTATTATGCTCCTACTTGAGCGCACCACTTGTAATGAATAAGATAAAATCTCAATCGCATAAACAAAACAATCACAAATTAGTTTAGATGATGGAACAAAGATAGAGATCACCAAATAAGAAATCCACAACTCATACTAGGAATAGAATAATTATACTTACAAAGTTGGCATCAAAACTTGTAAGTAGTCAAAGAATCCACATCTTCAAACACACAAAAACAAAGAGAAAACATATATTGTTGTAAAATAATTAATGAATTTTACATATAACAATAGTCATATTTATAACCCAAAAATTAAAAACTAAATAGTTTCTCTTAATCCCACAAGTCAAAGACTCACAGTACAAGTTTAAATTTAGGAAACTTGGATTTAAGCAAGAACGAGAAGTTCTCAATCATAGATTAAATTAAAACAAGAAATTTCCATTTCAAAATTATGTTCCTAACAACGTTCAAATTGCTACAACGGGAATATATTACAAATAGAGAAAACAACCATGTGTTAAAAGAAGGAAATTGATAAAAAAAATAAGGTAGTTTAAGAGCTAAATTGAAAGTAAATTATTAACATTATAGTTTCAAAAAATAGACATAAATTAGATATCTAGTCATCATTTTCATCATTTGAGAAGCCTGGACCTACAAGAATAAATTTATAATATTAGTTAAACAAAATTTTGAATTTTATTAAGTCAACCTTAATGTGCATATTCTAAATACTTACCATCATCATTAGGGTGTTGCATGCCCATTTTTTCTTCTATCATTTTTAACCAATCTATAGTTTTTTGTTGAGATTTAATGATCTTACTCTGTTCCTCATATTTCTCTTTTATAACTTTTAAACTGGTTTCAAGCTCGATCTCTCTCTCGGATGATGCATTTGATCTGATAATTTTAGTTTTCTTTATCGACTTTGGCCCATAACCAAGGCCACGAATCTATGACGATGTTTCACCTAAAACTTCAGCGCAAATGATTGTCTCATCAACTATTCCTCCATCGTCAATAATTTTCTCACGAATTTCCATCATCTTGTCCTGTATGTTTAAACAAAAAATCAACACAAAAAAAGATAAAATATTAATAATAAATATATTCTAAAAAAATTAAACTTATACTAACATATTTTGCCTGACAATCTTCAGAAACCCATTTCTTTTCTTTGTCTGTAAACTCCTCCTTGTATAACTCAATCCTGCTTAATTTCTACACCATAACAAAATATATATCACAAATTAATAGTTTTCAAAATTTAAACAACTAAAAAATTATAGATACCTGGTCATATAAATGAGCTACAAGGGACTTTGTGCCTATTCGGTGAATGACCTTCAACATCGAACGATTTCGACAGTTTGATTCCGATTTTTTCTGTATAAAAAAAATTGAATAAATATAATATAACAAAAAAAAGTAACAAGAAAATTTGATCTTCATATGCTTGAAATTTAAACATTTTAATATGAATTTCTTTTATATAAATGTTCATCTCATTTTTTTATATTATCTTTAATACTCATATTTTTTCCTCACAAAATCTTTACATAATAAGAAGTTTCATCAATCAATAATAACAATATTATATTTAATACTAATTTTTAAAAAAATTAAAGACAAACCTTAAAGGTTTCTGAGTCAAAAAAATTACATAACCAAATCCAATCATCTGGTCTCTCGATAAGTTCTTTGTAAGGCTTTTGTCTTGCTAACATTCCACCTCCATGTTTTTTATAATGTACATAAGCCTTTGAGTGAAAATCAGAAAATCTCTTGCTCATCGTGTGCATCACACAATCTTTTACATGTGATTCTTCAATGGACAAATTAATCTTTACCTACAATTTTTTTTGAAAGCAACGTTTAATTTTCATTCTTCCTGATGAAACAATCAGAACAATTACAAACAACAATAATGCATGAAAAACTCCCATGCCACTCCTGATCAAGCTCACAGATTAATAGAAAGCAGAATAAATAAAATACTGAAAAATATGTGCTGGTGTATGAGCATGTTATTTAGAAAACAAAGAGCTGCGAAGGAAAGGAAACAAGTATTCCAAACAAGTAGAAAAAATATTTTCAGAGATCATCAAATAAATAAAGTTTCATGTAGCACTATGCGTACAAGCTTTCTTGGTAGTCACTTAAATTATGAATTTTGTATGTGCTGGTGTATGAGCATGTTATTTAGAAAACAAAGACCAAAAAAAATGAAAATTAAAGCATCCTTAGATAAAGCTTAGCAACTACTCTTCCTTTCAAAAAGCCTTACATATCAAAATTATAACATGTTTGACAAATGCAAAATGAAAACTGATATAGTACATGCACTTTTTAGGAATTCATGAATGTGAGCGATACATTCCAAGGAAGCAACTTCTTATTTGAGTGCTGATAGCTTTATTGTATAATTCATATCAAACAACGAAACATGGCAACACCACGGTAATAAAATGAAGCCATAGCATGGGTAAACCTTTGGAATTTGAACCATGAAGGCTTATTAGTTGTTTTCCTTTTTGTGAATTTGGCATGAGTTCTTCAAATAAAGTTAAACTGGCCCATCAAATTTTAAAAAATAATTTGATACAATCATGAAAACAGTCACCCAACGCATCAAAATAATATGTTCAATCATCCTAATTCATCTAGTATTCAATGTTTGGAAATCAAATTACTATCATAAATAATAGCCTTTCCCTAACCATTTGGGTTCAGCTTTATGATCACTCCTCATTTCTTATTGCTCAACATTCAAATTCATATCATACCAAGTTTTACATAAAGATAAATGATATTCATAAACGGAATTGAATTTTAGATAAAAAATAACTAAAAAAAATCTTTAAATTTATTACCATCAATTTTTTTAAAAGTATTTCTTTATCAGCATCACTAACTTGATCTCATCTTTCGACTTGCATGGGT